CACATAAATGAGGAAGAACATTCTAAAACAATGTGGACAGGGAACAGGGAGAGCTTTCTAGGACAAAGTGATTGATGGATGAATATTCATGAGTCATGTGAATGGAGACGAGTGTTCTTGAACAGTATGAATGATGCACAGAATCCTAGAACAGTTTGAAAGGGAAAAACTTTCTAGAACAGTGTGAATGGATAGTACATTCTAGAAAGATGTGAACAGAAATCATTCTAGAATAGGGATTGCAGAGGATCATACAGTACACCTCAATAACAGTGTGAATGAGGAAACACTAAAACAGCATGAATCGAGAAGATCATTCTAGAACAGCGTGAATCGAGATTATTGATGGATGGGAGAGAACATTCTAAACCTGTGTTAAAGGGGAGAGCATTCTAGAAAAGTTTGAATAGGGATAACATTCTAGAACATTAACAAGCATTCTATAACATTCACATTCAAACATTTAAATGCTCTAGAACAGCATGAATGCAGGAGATCAATTTAGAACAGTGTGAACAGGGTAGAACAATCTAAACCACTGTGACTGGGGAGAACATTCAAGAACAATGCGGCAAAAGAGAGTATTCTAGAACAGCATGATTGGGAGAGAACATTCTAGAACAATGTAAACAGCAGAATTTTCTAAAATAACGTGAAAGGGGAAGAACACTAAAGAACAGACTGGGGGGAAACATTCAAGAACAGTGTGAATGAGGTAGAATATTCCAAAGCAGAGTGAAGGAGAAGAGCACTCAAAAACAGACTGGGGAACGGGAGGAGGCGTTCAAGAACAGCATGAATAGGGGAGAACATTCTAGAACACTGTGCTTGGCTTTTACCATTTAATATTCTCTACATTTTATATTCTGGTCATGGTAACAGATTTTATTCACGTGTTGTTGTCTACGCTAATATTGGATAATTTATTTTATCTTATGGTAACATCAGCAGTGACTTCATGTTTCAGAAAATGTGTTATATACTTATTCAGACATGTACAGAAAAGCCTGTCAGTTTGAGTTACCTCTCAGTTCAGCTCAACCGGCCTCGGCCTGGTCTCTACACGGTGATAACGCTGGATCAAACATTGGAATAATCCTTAAAGGGGACTTCAACAAACAGCTCGGATACCTGAAACCCTTACTGACCAACACAGACTCCACCAGAAAAAAAACACTCAATGTATTCCTTTTTTGCAGCAAAGATATTAGATAAGGATCCCAGCACATCTTTCACAATACGTTTCAAAAGCGCTCTCCACATCCATCAGGAGGTCAGCGTCTCCAGGGAGGGCATCCTCCAACACTGAATAACTTCACACTGACACCAGGGCGAGCTTTGAGCCTTTCAAAAATAAACCGCAAATTGCTGTTCAAAAGACTTTTACACATCACGGCTCCAGCAGATCAGGCTTCCTCTGGGGCCTGCCAGCCTCGATGAGGTGGATTACGTTTCATGTTTTATTTTGTTTTTATTCTTTCCCCCCTCTCAAATCATGGGGATTCCTCAGGTCTGAACAAAGAGCCCAGGGGCAGCAGCATTTATAGAATAAAAGAAACGTACACATGAAAAGTATGCTTGTTTTAGATGAACAAATGTAAAGAATTTGTTTCCTCCACAAAGAATGTACAGATGCTCTTTCCCTTACTAATTCATGCCCATAGAAGAAGAATATATGCAATTTTCTTCCGCTAGAGCTGCTCTGCAGTGCAGAAACCCATGATTTTCCATTCATAAAGAAAAAAAAAAACAAACAGTTTGCTGATTATAAATTCCATTAGAAGAATAATTTGATGAGACATCAATAGAAGCCCTATGCACATCCATGAGTGGGCTGATACTCGACGTGTCTCCATGGCAACGCCGTCAGCAGCACCCAGACTTCAAAAGACTGAGCTCAGACTTCAGAGGGAGAGCTGAGGGAAGACTCACTGCATGCGGACACGCTTAAGTGACAGCCACAACAATAACACTAGCCTTCTTCTATTTAGCAGCAAGAAATCAGAGCTTCACAATTGTCTCACTATTCCAGTATGAAGACCAGGAGAGAGAGAGAGAGACAGAGAGAGAAAGAGAGAGAGAGAGAGAGAGAGAGAGAGAGAGAGAGAGAGAGAGAGAGAGAGAGAGACTGCCAATGAGCTCAGAATAACATGCTGATAAACCAGTTGATAAATATTCAGTCTTTATGCAGCTCAAGCCTTTACTGTTTTACCACAGAGCTTCTGTACATAAACAGTCGCTTTCAGTAACACTTCAGGTCTGTAGTAGCTTCACTGTTCACAATATGAGTCACAGGATTCTGAACGTTAGCCACAGATAGCTAGCAAAACACACACACTCACACTTTCCCGTTTCACTCCTCCTTCTTCTTCTTGGAAGCGTTCACTGGGCCAATGGGCCAGAGTGACACAGACAGGGATTTAAAAATAGCTCAGCAGAAAAAACCCACAGTATTAAAACAAAGTAGCTCTATGGTAAAGCACCACGGTGGAAACAGCAGGAAAACTCAGGTTAAACCACTATCCAGTGGGTGGACAGTAGGCAATATGGCAAATATTTAATATTACATTTTTTGATGCTGCGAAAAATTTTTAGGCCAACAATAAATTAAAAAAAAAAGAAAAAACACTTTACATGACGATTTTAATGGTAATTAAATTAGCATCAGTGATTAAAAACACTGTTTCCTTCGCTCTCCGCAGTGCAGACGCATTCAAACAGTGTGAGCAGCAAAAGATCAACAGTAAAACTGTTCCGCTATCTATGAAGGGACATTAGACAAATGAACTATAATTTCTGTTAATGTTGAGTATACAGAGGGGGGGCACAACGACCTTCTTTGTCTCGAGGACATCTGATTTTGTGGCACATACAGAAAACCTACGTATTGTAAGAATTTTATTTTATGTACACTGCTTTTGTTTATTGTCAGCTTTTTCGGTTTTTAGGCCAGTGCATCTTGAATTTCGGTTTCCATTTCAGCCAAGAAATTTCATTTCAGTGCATCACTAATGTAAAAGGCAGGAAAACATGTCAAGCCGTGATTGACTGATTGACTGCCTAAAGCTCAGAGCTCAGAGCTGCACACTGCTAGCCAGTCGCCCAGTTGAAAGTATTTTTTTTGGTCAGTGCTTGCTTAATACAATGAAATCATGATTTTCTTGACTAGCTAACTGTACCATTAGAGTCAAACTGTGAACCCTGAAGTTTACAATGTACAATCCAAGACATTTTGAACTAGTAGTGCCTTATTTAAAATGTCATTACAAACCATGAGTACAATTTTTTAAAATTGAATGCTTTCCATCCTGCACTACTATCTAATTAAGTGGGGTCAACTAGGCTCTCTCTCTTTTGAATATTTTGCATCACTGGGACTCAAACTCTTGCCAAGAACAGAATGAAACCTTAAACATCTATGCCACTTTTGTGTCTGTGACAGTGTTGTGGTAATGAGGATACCTCAGAAAGCTTAATGTGCTTACAGTGGCATTTACGTTGTACTTGACCAGGTAGGGAATTGAACAGAGTGCACAAAGTTAAATACTACACTACACCAACTGTAGTGTTGGTAAACACATACACAGCAAGTGGACCAAGACGAAATCCCTCACACTTATAGCTAAAGCGCTACTGGAATGACCAGAAAGGAAGAAAATGCAGCTTCAGATTTAAAACAATCAAAATAGACTTGTACAGGCCAGACAGAATTCAACTGATGAAAATCTCTGATATGTGAGAACGTTATAAAACCAGAAAGTTTTCTAAATGGTTCTTGGCTTAGACATATCTTTAACTGGCACAGAACAGTTATAGTATGTGGAGGTTCTTCTAAAAAGGTTTCTCACACTCACACAAGCTCTTAACAACAACATTTCTTTAAAGAATCATCCAATGAAATGTCAGGCAAGACACTCAAGTGCAATTATTTTCACCTGTTAGTGCAATGTGGGTGCAATGTCTGCACTGGCTGTATTCTCACAAATGAAATCTACCAGTTCTGCTCTCTAGAACAGAAGTGTAAACTGCATGTGCTGCGATGAGTCTGATAGGCTCAGAGGGTCCATGAGCCCATTAAGACTGACAGGCTGATCGTCCAATGGCGCTCTGACAGCTCAGTGGAGAGCAGAGCGAGCGGAGGAAGTGGTGCAGTCAGAGAGGAATGCACAGCCTCTCTCTTTCTTTCCTTCTTCCTCTCGTTTACTCCATTTACACATGAGCTGAAAAAGAGCATTTCTTCAGCACATTTCTGGTCAGAAACAAAGTTGCTGGGTGTGAGAACGTCCCCCCAGCACTGCTTTTTTTAAAATAACGACAACCAGTAATGACTATATTACGATGTGGCTGTTAAGCCCTTAGATGTTTAGAGTTATTATTGTTATACTTTCCAGAAGCAATGTATACAGATTACATAGTTAATTACATAATAAATTACATTTACATTCAGTTTACATTCTGTATTAAGTTCTAGTTTGCACTTCTGACAAAAATGTGGCAAAAATGTAAACAAGACAATGCATAAAACTAAAACTTTTCATCAAATGTAGACCATAATAAAATATCTCCTTTTCTACATACAAACACAAATGTTATATATAAAAATTATAACCCGCTTTCTCTGGCAATTGTGCTTCTCGTAGCACTGCGGAACCTGGCGCTTGATTCATAGTGCGGAGCAGGCTGGATTTAAGCCTTGGGACCATTAGAGATTCTTTTTTTGTCAGCGAGTTTTTGACAGCTGACACAAATAACACACTGATGCTTATTCTCCATGAAAGGCTGAGAGGCTGTCAATGATGAAAAAACCCTTAGTGATATTTCCTTTTAAAATACCAAATGTGCCATTGGACCGGAGGCCTGTCAGTCTGTGAGGGTTCAGAGTCCCTCTCGAGCTTTTCAGACACCATCTGTACACAAATATACATAAAACGATAAACAGATCCATAAATAATCAAAAAATTCTACAGAACCCAGTGTATACAATCTCTGTGAGAACTCACTGGAAGGCTGGATGGCCGATCTTGCTGGTTCAGACCCATCTCATCATGGTTTGGCTTCCCAGGAGTCATAGCAGGCTGGCCACGGCTGCCATAACCCTCCTGTGGAGCGTCCTTAAGAGAGAGAGACGGAGAAAAAGAGAGACAGAGATAAAGAGAGATTTCCGTATAGCCTGCTGATATCTTAAAGCAGAACTCCACCAATTTTTACAAAAACCCTTCATAATTCTACAGAACCTTACTGAGAACCTTACTTGCTGCCTCTAAAAGCTCCCTTACAGAAAGTTATTACATGAAATGAAATGAATATGATGAATGCGCTGAAGACACATGAAATGTGTCATTTTAAGAAAGTTTTGGCCTCAGGTTTATTTTTTTTAAATGAATGCAGCATGAAGAGGTAAGGTAAGATATTTCGCAAAGATTTAACACTATTTTACCATCTTCAACATCACATATAAAACTGGTGGCTTTGGATAGTAAATAAAATGACTATACTTCTGTTGTAGGCATTGTAACCCCTGGTTCCTTTCACCACCACCGTCTGAGTCATTGCATTTTTCTACAATGAACCATTTCACATCAAACCACTCTGAATACCTTTATTTACATCTCAACAACATGTTTTTTGAAAAATAGGTGAAATTTCCCTTTAAAGAAATGTAAGATATCAAAACATTTCATTTCATAGTTAAGCAACAGGTTATAATTATGCAATAAGACACCAGAGGTCATGCTATACTATAAGATATTGGCACAGGTGTGCTGTGGTCATTGCACAAGACCACAGGCAGAATAGATCAGCACAACAGTGCCAATCTCATGGTATACCCCTATGTATAATTGTGATTATAACACGGATTATACAAATTACCGCAAACACTAATAACTAGGTTTACATTCAGCAAAGAAAGACAGTTCTGATCTAGCACTGCTGCATATAAATACTACAAAATGAAGCATCACAAAGCAAAACCTTGAGAATTTGTACTTTGGAAAGGTCAAGAGTTCTTGTCAGAACATGTAAACAGAAATGTAAACATGACTGTGACTAACAACTTTGGAAAATAGTAAAATAAGTGTGGTCAGTTTAAATAAATACAATCAGGCGATTATGTAATAATAGGCCTACAGCTGGTAACATGTCTACTGCTGATATATTATGCACATCTGGAAAACAGCTTCATCTAATCCTAGAAGGAATATGCTGCTGCCTCATAAGCTGATCACATTTCCTCAGGCAGACAAATACTCAAACTTCAATATGTGCTTTGTAGGGATGCATCGTTATGGGAATTGTATGCTGATGATGATATCTGATATTTTTCATTTAAATCTGTCGATACCGATACTTAAACATTCACAAAATGTAAAAATTGGGACTAGATCCACTTGAATTAGCATGACAGAGAAATATAACATTTATTTCTGTAGGGTTAGAAAAACAAAAAAAATACTTTAGCACAGCATGCCAGCATAACCTAAAAGTTCTGCTCTTCTGGGCCCGTATTACAGAAACCTCTTATATTTTGTCCCAAATAAAGATTTAGTAAGGACAAATTCGTGTTTGTATCCTTAATTTAGAAATTACATCTTACCCTGCAGAATCTTATATCAAGTTAGGAAATCCTATACTACTTCATGGAGGCTGATAAAGATTATGTTACCAAACATTTGAGAATACACACATAGCTGAAATGTGAACATGTAAACAAAGCAACATAACGTAAGTTAGTTAGCTAGACATCTACCGTTACCAATGTAAAAAAAATGGCAAAACAAAACTCAAGTGCGATAAACTAGAAGTGTGACAGCAGCCCTTGCTGTTTAACAGGGTGTTGCTGCTGCAGTTTCAGTTTTTGTCTCCTCATTATTCAACCCTATCACTCCAATATTTTATCTCTTAGGTTTAACGTGTCTGCAGGATGTTTTTAACTGCTGAGTTAGAAAAACCCAACAATCTCACAAAAGGAATTTCTGTTTTACTATGATGAATAAATGTAATGGCATCATACTAGTTACAGTGAACTTGATATGGTGTCTGTCACAGCTGCTAAATAACAATACAAACGGAAGGTTAAACAGACGTTAGAACACTGTAGGAGTTATCCCGGAGTTAGGACAGCGTATAGGAAAATCTGTATGGTTATGAGGCTTCCGTAATACTCTTATCTGAAGTTAATGGATAAGATTATGTACTTATGAACTGCTATTCTGTAACAGCCATTGTCTTAAATTCAGTCCTAACTAAAGCTGTAATATGACCCAGTTAAAAAAAAACAACATTACATACTGATTGAAATCTCTGTCAAATCTAAACGTCTGTCCAATGATGGCATTTTTAAGCCAGTATTGGCCAGTATTATTTTGACTCCCATATCATAGAGCATCAGTAGTGCTCTTTAAGATGGCCACATGCTCCACTCTTGTATAACTCATTCAAAAGAAGAGAGCAGAGTGAAAAGGTAGAGTGGAGAAAGGGAGGGTGCAGAGTAGTGGAGGGAAAAAAATTCCAAGCGTACCACAGTCTGACATTTATTTAGAGACACGTGTATGTGTGTAGACGAGTGCCGTGATAACTGGGTCATGGCCAGGTCACACCCACAGGCTGCTGTTTACAGTCCGGCCATGACATCATGACTGCAGCGTGCTTAGAGGGAAAGAGAACAGCTGCTTCTCCCCTGATATACAGAGAGAGAGAGAGAGAGTGAGAGAGAGAGAGAGAGAGAGAGAGAGAGAGAGAGAGAGAGAGAGAAAGAAAGAGAGAGAGAGAAAGGGGGAGAAAGATGGAGAGAGCAAGAGAGAGACAAAGACAGCATGAGAGGAAAAAAACAGAAAAGAGAGAAGAGGACAGAGTAAGAGAGAGATAGAGAGAGACAGAGTAAAGAGAGAGAAAAGAGAGAAGAGAGAGCAAAGAAGGAAGACAGAAGAGAGACAGACACAGGGTGCGAAAGAAAGAGAGAGAGAGCGCAAGAGAGAAAAAGACAGACAGAAAGAGAGACTTAAATGCGGGGATTGAAGGCCTCAGTAGAAAAGTATGCACTGTGTGAGAGGCCTCGCGCCTCCCTCCACTCAACAGATGTGCTCTCTCACTAGGGATCAGTAAGTCCACCGATTTTCTTCTCGATCTGAGGCCAAATGTACAAACATATAAGACTTTTATTTTGAAGAGGGTATTAAAACTTGCAGAAGCATTAGTGTTGGTATCAGATAATAGCTTTGGCAATACACTTACAAATAAAGGTGATGAAAATGTTCTATGGGTGTAATATTAAGGTAACACAACTCAAATGTTCTTTAGGGAGACAAAAGTGTTTCTCCTAAAGAACCCTTTTTGGCACCTTCTTTTTTAAAAGTATAACACCAAGGCGAGCCTGACACCAACATGAACACATTAAAAAGTCTTCTTTTGCACATAAAAAGTAGAAATCTGATTTATTTTCTACTGATATACTGTGGTCTGAAAAATGCTTTTCTAAATTAATAAATCTAAGAATTACATTATCGGCACTACAATTTGAGTAAATAATAAAAACATACATTTTAATGTGCATTTCAGAATATTTTAGTATTTGGTTTGTCTGCCTTTTGTTTTAATGGTCATGTGCACTCAGGCTGCATGGACTTCACAAGCCTCTGCTGAGTAGATAAAATCCACCTGAGAGTCGTCTGAACAGGAGCTTCAATGGAAGAGAGAAGACTAAAACACATCTGACCTTTTTGTGCAAAAAGTTCATCATGGTCAGTGTCACAAAATTGCCTACATTTAAACAGTGAAGACTCTTCAATGTTTCTTTGTTTTAAAATGTTGTTTATTTCCAGCTTTAAATAGAAGAAATCTCAGATTGTCAACGTGGTCTCAGACTTTGTGCCATCATTTTTGCACAGGCTAAATTTTATGTTCTGTTTTTCACATATTTCACTTCACAGAAGATAAATATTAAAATTACTGATAAAAGAAAACATGATTTTATATAAGGATCAATTTTCAAAAGAAAACATCAGGACTAGATATCGTAACACTTCAGCCCTACTGATCACTTTTACCTTTTGGTTCTATCTTCGTATCTAACTGTCTGTGTGTTCTGTAACCTGCGCCTGCAGTTTGGCTTGTGGCTTAGCACCACCGAAGAGCAATAAAGCGTCTCCCCCTGAGAACTGCTTCCTTTGTCAGCTGTCCCATGCTTTCACATAACTTCACATTTGTGAGGTCGGCCAGACTGGATGATGCATAACTCACTGTGGCTTGTGAGTGAGAGAGAGATTCCTCACAGCTTAAATTAAAGTGTGATGGTATTTTGGTTCTGGGTGAAGAAAGGTTTTAGTGCACAAGAGATTTCAAATAGAAGAAAAAAAGAGAGAATTAAACCAAACACAGAACAACTGATTTATACGTGCACCACACAGAACTGTGCTCTTCTGTCACAACCATTGCTAGGTTGGACAAGCTTTACAGAACATTGTCAAAAATCCCTTACACTACTGAGAAACTGCATAGCACAACTCAGCTTGTGGCAAAATACGCAAAGCCTTTGTCTGTTTTTATAATAATAATAATAATAATAATAATAATAATATCATCAGGCCACTACAACAGCCCAGTTTAACAACAAACACAGTTGCCATCATTCTAACATCAGCTTGATTGCACATCAAAAACTACACCCCATCTATTCTGCTGTAATTTGAACAAGCAGCTGGCAATGAGAAACTGACTTCAGCCTCGGAAAAATCGAACACTGAGAGACATTTTACAAGAAACTATTTCACTTTTGCAGAAAGATTTCCTGCCGGAGATGCAAGAAACGCAGCTATACCTATGTTGAAAGGACAAAATGGCTCTTCTTAACATTTGGGTTGCCGAACCCCTGCGATGCACAGAACATGTTTCTGCACATTTTAATGAACAGTTACTGTTTATTTACTGAATTTAACATTTTTTTTCCAATACGTTAAACTGCCATGAAATATATCATTTCAGTGTGTTTTCTGTAGAGGATGTATTAACTTATTTTCACTTAGAAAATCAACAAAACCTGTCATTTGACCAGGGAATTCTCAGTATCTAAAGGCTTCTACTTATGTGCAAATGAAATTGTGCTTCTAAGAAAAACAAACAGTGCACAAACAATTGCTTCCTAAACAAAACGTTTATATATACACCATACACACTACATATATGTTCCACACATACTGCATGTTGAATGTCAGCAGAACTCCTGCTGCTAATGTTCTATAATAAAGATTCGTATGCGAAACTAAACAAGTCATTTTCATACAGGTGATTTCATTTGTTTACTTGTATGAGCATGGTTTGAGTGGGTGTGCTGACAAGAAATCCAAGCTGTTTATGACTAACATCTCATCAGATTAATCAAACTTCATCTACATCTCCATGAGAATGAAAGATATCTGTTGTCTTTTTCCCCTCTTTTCATGCACAGCTCTAAAGTGTGCAAAATAGAGAACACAGCACAGCAGCGATGCAAAACTGATCTGAACTGAATGGATTAAAATTATATTCAACAAAGCATGCCCTAATTTTTTGGATCCAAAAAACAGTTCACGCTATATATTTACAAAAAGTGTATTATTAAGTGTTTTTCAAAAAAAAATAAAAAAATAAAATCGTGGTGGATTAAGAGTTCATGAATTAAACTTGTGCTATTTTCAAGAGTATAAATCCAAATAAGAAAGAAAAAGTACTGTAGTGTTATTATGGTCCATACTCCACTGTCATGTAAATACATACTCCAGTCAAATATATGAAATCAAGTATATTTTTAAAAGTAATTCTGCACTGAATCAATTCAAATCACAGTGACATTTGAGTTTTTATGATACGAAATTGTTCCTTAAAGAATATTAATTGAACTAAAGAGACTGACACCCCTAGATCACAATAATAACTCATTCGGTGAACGCAATGTCCCTAATCATTCATGGAAAGGCGTCTTGGCTTAGCTGGAGAGTTTATTCATATACGCCCACAGAACTGTGCTGCTTGGTCACCGTCATATGTCCAGAATTTCTCTTCCTGAAGAAGACTCTGTTCCTCACGAGCTGTCCTGGTCATGGCACAGCTCAAGATAGCAAAGCATGAAAGCACAAGGCCAGGTCAGCTCGCCAGTTCTATATTACACATCACCAACTCAGCTAACCAACAGAGACAGGGAGCCTGGCCTACAACTTTGATTCAACAGCAGATGAGAGCCCGGCTTTTGCGTTTTCAAAGAAAGGAGAGCAGAACTTGGTTAGCAACCTCTGCACATAAAGGTTCAGCACTGTTAGCTAAGCTATAGCTGCATAATGACTAGCACTGAGGTGCATTTTTTAAAATGGCTTAAATTATGACTTTGGGGTGCTTTAACCACTTGTCCTTTAACAGCTGGTGACTTACAATGACAAGAGTGGAAACACTAAATCAAAAAAATATTTCATGCTTATACCAAGAAAAGATGCAAACATTACAGTACACAGTGTGCTAACCAACACAAACAAACAGAGAGTGAAACCATTTCACCCAGTGTTGGGACATTTCCCAAATAGGAAAACCTTCACGAGCTGCAGCTCACTAATCTGGAAAAATGTTTTTTACTGCAATGTGCAAAATAATGCACTGACACACTTTAAATTTACTAAATGTCACTTTTAATATTTCTTACTGCTGCCTTGCTATACTAAGGTTGCTGTCACCCCTGTCTTGTTTGGTACAGACCTATCAAACTTTTTCATTTTCAAGTTCATTCCGATTTGACATGCAAAAACTCCACGCATATTCAAACCAAACAATTTAACCATGGACCAGTGATGCCTGCTTGAGTTCGCTGTTGGGAAAGCATTTTTACAATGGTCCACACAAAATGAGACAATTCAACACCAGAGGCTGCTTTTCTCAGTGCACATTAGCGCTGTACTTTCCACATAATCTGCTTGTTTATACATTTCACGATTTACAGACCATCATATAGTTCCTGTAGTACAAGAGGCTGTTAATAACAGCAGACGAGCAATAACATATTACCAGAAATACGTTTTTATTTTGGCACATGGATTACAGAATGTATTTTTGGCCAAGCATCAGTGACCTGGTGGGTTAAATTCAATTTGGTAAACCAAGTATAAAAAGCTGAAAGCAGAAATGTTTATTATTTGTTTTATGATACAAATGGACTTTAAGCATTTATTTTTCTATTTTCTACTTATATGTTTCTATTTTTATGGTGGTAAATGCGAGAGTAACAGAGTGACTGAATCCCTGCAAAGTTTCTGACCAATAAACAAACACACCCATGTGTAATTTGGTCCACTTTAGACATTGTGGTATGAAACGAACTGAACCAAATAAAAAAGATACACTCACAAAAGCTTCATGAATACATTTATGGAGACGTTATTAGCATGACATGAAAGTTTTAGTTCTTAGTCAGTGCCCTAGTCGCGTTTTGCCCCATCACTTTTGGAGGTGTGGCACCACCCACAATGAGGCTGCACATCTGAAATCCCAAAGAAAAAATCTCAAATTAAATCCCAAATCTAGAGGTAATTGATCTGTAATCAAATTAAGTATTTTATTGCAGTATAGCACTGAACATAAAAAAATTAAATCAACTTCCTTCCAAATCTCTCTGCCTATTCTCCTCTGTACCCCTCCCCCGCCCTTTCTGTCAGCAGTTGGAGTCCAAGCACGCAGGAAGAAAATGGATCTGTTTCTCAGCCAGTCTAACCGTCGTCTAAGAGAAAATGAAAAATCGGAGGCATAAACAGAAGCTTAGTGATATGAGCTGAGCTGCCACTGTGTTCTCATTGATATCGTCCACACACACCCCTGAGAAATCCACTCAAGGTCAGTTTAATTCTGCAGCCTTCACCACAGTATGTGCATCTGCAGGAGAATCAGGCACATGAGCTGCGTGTAAACCAGAAGAATCAGGCCTTCCAGACACGCAGCGCCAACAAAAGTAAAGGGCTGAACTCTGTGTATGTACACATTAAGGGTCACTGAGGGGTGCTTTTAGAATGTGAAAGACCCACTCTTTTGTTAAAAATCAGGTAAGAGTTCCCCTAAATGTTGTTTCCATCTCTCAATTTCATTTCATTTTCCATCAAAGTTTGGCAGACATTTATCATTTGTGTTCTACTGGCTCCACAACAGTGTAGAGTGCTTGGACCCCAATGATTGCCACTCACAATGAAATTTGTAGACACATACTAATCAGTAGTGGAGGCAGTTCACAGAAATCTACAAGTTCTACATCAATTTCAGACAAAAACTGAAAACTGAAATCAAAGCTTGCTCTCTTGGTTGCATTAACAATAATAATTTATACACATGTACCTTTTTTCATCTACTATTCGAAAGCTACTGAAGAAAAATATGAATATGGCAAAATGAAACCAACTTCACAATAAAATGTGTCTCTCTTTTCATGTTTTGGTAATGTTATAACAGTTCTAATTAACCCATAAAGAATGAAATACTTATCTGTGGGTTAGCTAAAAAATGACTATTAGCTGCTGCTATGCTATGTTTAGGGGAGAGGACGGATTCTCTCTCTCTCTCTCTCTCTCTCTGACATCTCCCACTTCAAAGAGTAAAAAGACAACCAATCTACACAGTTCATGTAAATGGTATGTCAAAAACATCCATAAAGTTTGTGTGTTAAATGTATGTTAATTCTGTTTAACTAAAAAGAAAGGCTGATATCATTTTAAATTGTCAAAAAACTAACACCAATAGTTTTAAAAAAGGTTAGTTTTTAGAGATCAGACACGGTCAACTTAGCAGTCCCAAATGAATGTAAAGCAAGGCTGCCCAGATTATGGCCCTTGAAGCCATTCTTGGTGTGACAGAAAAGTGTCTTAACCCCATCCTTCCCCAACCCCCCTCTCAATGAGAGAACAAACTTTTATATATTTTCCTCACTTTTAAAAGAGACTTCTAACTAAAAAAGATCTTATTTTTAATCTAAAATTCATAAAATAAAATTACATAACGGCCCCTGACATCACAAAATCACCACTGAGCATCACCATAACAGAGAAGATAAAATAAAAAAATAATAATAAATAAAAATAAATGTATATCTCAATCTGAATCACACATACTTCCTTTTCTTGGTCTTCAACTCATATTACATATTGGCAAAAAGGCGATATCCACTACATATAACCATATTGTGACATATGATGTAATCATAATAATGATACATATTGTCATATTGTCCAGGCCTAGGTTTTCCTCAGAGGTGCTAATTCATCATATACGAACCAAGCCACTAAACATAAATGCTTTATTCGCTGGATTCTGGCAGATCATGTACTGGTAGGGTTAGTATGAGCTGTATAGAGAGTTACTGGAGCAAAGAGCCTTACCTGCTGAGGTGGAGCTCGGGATTGCATGTAGTGGGGCTGAGAGGGGGCGGCAGGCTGCTGCTGCGGAGGGCTGAAGTATGGAGGCTGTCCCTGCTGGCAGTATCCGCCCAGGCTCTGCTGCCCATACTGAGCCGGCACCTGCTGAGGGACAAAATCAAACAGAGACACATGAGAAATTGCATAGCAATGTTAGGGGATAAAGAAGGAGCAATGTTGCTTAAATCGTTCAAACTGATAGGAGGGATGAATGACATTTTTTGTCCATTTCATACGTAATACAATATCAGAAAGTCTATTGCAGATTGAAGGGCTGGTGTCCAGCACAATTTAGCGATTTGCCTACTCAAAGACACCTGATTACACTTATCTGTTAACTGGCAGGTTTTTAGGGTGTGTTTTTATAGGGAAATCTCAAAACTTTGCTGGACACCAGCCCTCTGGGACATTTTGGAATAATAATAAAAAATAAAAAAATATAAAATAATAATAATAATAATAATAATAATAATAATAATAATAATAACAACAACAACAACAACAAAAATAACAATAGCAAGCTAAAACTAAACAGTTTGTTTTTAAGAAGTGTAACTGTAATTGATTGTAGGAGCTCATTTATAGTCACTTAAAATTTACCCGCCCAATTCAGCCTTCAGCAGTTTAGTCCCGTCCATCTACACTGAAGTTATAAGGAGTGTTTCAGCCCTGCTTTTTAAATGAGGCACAGTACAGTACCCCTTCAGTCAATCAGGACCTAGACCAGGGGTTGACAGCATGCAGCTCCTTAATGCATGCAGCTCTTTTACTGTCCTGTTGCGGCTCCACAGCAGAATCAGATTTTTAGGTGAAAATAAAATAATCCTCCTTTGCAGTAAAATAAAGCTCTGCTGATCGTTCTAACAGTTGTAACAAATGGTCTTAAACGATGGAGTTAATGTATAGCTGCTAATTCACCAACCCATAACCCTTAAAACTGGCGGGCAGGCTGTCGGTAACTATAGCAATGCAGACAACGATTTAGCCTAGCTAATAGCTAATGACAAGGCAAAGAGAAAAACTTAAGATGAACATCAATAATTTGTTCACGAATGGACTTTTATTTGCACTCCATCTGGTTTCCTTACATGATTAATATGCAATGAGAAACTATCAAACACTAAAAAGTTGCGAAGCTGAAGTCGAATTTTCCCGCTCCATGTTAAATTTAAGGTGGAACGGAAAAATTCGAACAAGAACCTGGTGAATGACAAGCTGACTTCAGCATCGTAAAAGTCGAACATTAAGAGACATTTTACAAGTAAATATTCTATTTTTGTGAAAAAGTTTCCTGCCGGAGATGCGAGAAAAGAGGCTACAGCTGAGCTAAAGCTTAAAGCAGAGCAAAGTAAGTCTGCATTTTCGTTTATATTATTTTTTTATCCTATACTAGCAGATTACCACATACTGAGACGTATTTACAGCCAAGATGGCAAAATGGACACATGTTGTGGCTCCGTAGGTGGTTTGATTTTTACTGAAAGGACAAAATGGCTCTTCTTAACATTTGGGTTGCTGACCCCTGACCTAGGCCATTTAAAGGTACAGTAACAACATCAGCCTACTTAATTTTAAGGGATAAAGAAAGGTTAGAAAATTGTCATGCAAAAATTAACAATGACTGTTTTTAGTACATAAAACCACACAGATGTGAGTGACCCTCAAGGAAAGGGAAAAAGTAGGATATGGGTCCTTTAAGTGAACGGTGTCTGTCTGCCTCATGCAGGGATCTCAAAATCAAAGGGCGCAGTTCGGTGTATTACCTGCTAATATAAAATAATTAAGTGATGAAATGAATCAGCTGTGCTGAAGCAGGGAAGACACTAAACCATGTGGTGTTACTGCCCCCAGGACTGACGGCAGCTCATCTCAATGAAGGAATCAAGGCAGAAAGAGCCATCTGTCGGGAACGCTGCTACCAGCGCTGATCCCTCATCACTTAATCAGGAGCTTCAACACATGGGCCAGAATCCAAAACCCAAAATCAAGACTGATAGCGCTGCACCTTACACAGCCTGCTCCCAGCATGAGAGCCCATGATGAGTTATGAGTGGGAGTGAGGGGGGGGTTTCAAGGGTGCGTTGCTGACATCGTAATCTAGCAAGGCCCCCAACCCCCTCCCGCCTCCAAATTCAGTGCAAGTTGTGTTATGTAACAGGTTTACAGCAGAACAGCTGGTATTGGCACGCCCACTTCGCCTCATCTGGACTCATTTGCATTCATCATTGAGGCCAAATAGAAAACAAAAAACAGTCACAATGATGACAGTGCAGCCCCACCCCCCAGCTATTCCCATCTCTAATGAACTCACTGATGTGTCAGCACCTTTTAACTACCATTAACACAAACAGACAGAGTTTAAATGAATATTTAGCATGTTTGACCTTCATACATATCCAAAAGTATCCAGACACCTCTTCTAATTAATGAGCTCAGCTAGGTTAAGGTGCACCCACTGCTGACACAGGTGTTCAACTGCGCACTTACAGTTTGTATAATCTCTGTAGAAAAGCCAACAGATTGGGACACTCTGAAGCAGCCGCACATAAGCTTAAGATCAGCAGGCCCAATGCCAAGCATCAACTAGAAAGGTATAAAGCCCCCAGCATTGGGCTGTGGAGCAGTTTAACTGTGTTCTCTAGAGTGATGGAGCTCCAAAATGATTTCACATGGCTGTAGAAACAGGCTTAAAAATGAGTTGCTTGTTGTTGGAGCGTTCTGCGTTCTTCCTAGAACTGCAACTGCGATTTTAAACAGGGATTAAAATATAATAAATTAAGGTCCAGTGCCTGCTTGCATAAAACATCTTAAGCTATGTTTTAAATGTCTGAAGGATACAATCAAAGCTGTAAATTTAAATTTACATTTTAAAAACTGTCAACAACTGATGTGCTGAAGCTTAAATCGTAAACTTGTCACTTGCATAAAAATTTGGAACATTGTGTGTGTATGTGTGTGTGAATATACACACATATATATAAAAACATTTACACACACATGGATATACACACTATATGGACAAAAGTATTGGGAAACCTTATACCCACAGGAGCTTTTATGACATCCCATTCTAAATCCATAGACATTAATATGAAGTTGGTCCCCCTTTGCAGCTATAACAGCTTCCACTCTTCTGGGAAGCTTTCTACAAGACTTTGGAGAGTGTCTGTGGGAATTTCTGCCCATTCATCCAAAGGGCATGGGAGGTCAGACACTGATGTTGGAATAGAGGACTTGGTTCTCAATCTCTGTTCTAGTTCATCCTAAAGGTGTTTGATGGGGTTGAGGTCAGAACTTTGTGCAGGCCAGTCAAGTTCTTCCACACCAAACTCAGCTAGCCATGCCTTTATGGACCTTGCTTTGTGCACTGGGGGTCAGTCATGCTGGAACAGAAAAGGGTCTTCCCCCCAAATTGTTCCCACAAAGTTGAAAGCATACAATTGACCAAAATGTCTTGGTATGTTGAAACATTACGATTTCCCTTCACTGGAACTAATGGGCCTGGGCCTAGGCCTACCCCTGAAAAACAGCCCTACAGCATAATCCCTCCTCAGATGTTTTATGTAAGCCATTAGCATATCCATTTTCTCTGTTTTGAGGTTTGAACAAAGGATGTAGTGAGCTTAGTAAACAGAACTGTTCATGGGGCAGTTCAATAGCTCCTTGTTGATAATGTACGCTATGAACAACATTGCAGCTCTTGATTTGTGACTTGAAAACAAAGACTATGTTTCAAATTGTGATTCTGATAAGGACAATTAATCTTTCAAGCCCTACTTCTGCTCCAGCAAAACTGAGCAACGCAGGGCTGCATGGGTTTAGTCAGGTTTGGTTTGGTCTGAATTTTGCAAGATAAGATGTACAGGAAATGCATAAAGATGTTTACAAGCATGTACATGTTTGTCCTAACATTTTTTTTTCCACTTCTTGTAGCGTGGTTATTAGTGTAGGCTCCAAATGTCGCACCCTGCTGTACGGTTAACCCTGACTTCGCAGCCCTGCTTATGACTAGTACTGTGTTTCTGCTGTTCCCAACTTTCTACGGTTTCAAGTTTATGAGTCCTGTGCAAATAGTTTACAATAGTAAGGTTCGCAATAGATAAAAAACAAACTGTGTATAATCGGTTTTATGAATACAGGAGTCTGTTACCATGGTAACTCTTAATCGGCAAGCCCATTTAGATGTGCACTGATAATATGAACGTGCTGAATGCCAGGACACAGAAACAAGCTTCAGAGCTAGAAAGAAAACTTGACTCACAAACAGCTTTTCTCAATGGAAGGAAATGCTCCGTAAGGCATTTAACCTTCACTACTATGGAAAAAATATGAAACTTCAAATTCATCATTCAAAGCAATCTTCATTGTATTTTTTTCCATTTCTACTGATGACTTGAGGACCACATACGCTGGTTACATTCAGTCCGCTCTACAATAAGCTGTTCCAGCATGAAATCCTCGCCCTCTCGTCTGAACTGTAGCGAGTGCAGAAGACAGTCTGTCAGATTATTCTCAGCTGCGCGCACAATAATAATCCAGCAGGCCTGTCAACAGCAGAGGTCACTATTTTGGCCACCAGACAGGAACAGTTCATCATCTGCCAAAAAGTTTAAAATTTTCACTTTACAGAATGTCAGCACTCTATAACAGAAAAGAATCTCTGAATGTATGACTACATTATTTATTGCCTCAAAATTCACCTCTACCATATTTAACCTGACTGATTCATTCTCAGACAACTCTCATGCAATTCTTTTTGTCTTATTTTTAGTCCTACTCTATTATGTGAATAACTATAAACTTGCATTTATAATTTTAATTAACCGGTACCTAATTTAGTCTAATGACCGCAATACATTCTCACTGAAATGTCAAATATACGTACTTAGAACAGCACTAGCCTCATAAGTCTAGTTTATTTCAAAAACAGCATCAAATGTTCTAAAAAAGAATGTACAATGTCCAAACTTTGGGACAAATTGGAGCAAATAAGACAAGTGTGATTAATTGTGATTAACTACCCAAAAAGATGCTACTGGTTGCAACAATTATTTGAATCGTTTGGTTGGTTGCAACTAATTATCTGAATCATTTTGCAGCCCTAAAATATGATATAAGGTAATATAAGGTAATTGCATAAAAGGTCATGAAAAATCTGTAATTTTGGCCTCATAAGGTCCAGTTCAAGCAGCATCCTGTATAGGACAGCTCAGAGGATACACAGAGATATAGACAGTGTGCTAAGGGTGTGGAGATGACCAGTGGTCAGGCAGGTTAGTCGGAGCTCCACAGGGGACTGATGAGTGCTGTGTTTTGATAGTGTTGTGACAGGACACATGTGGACGCTGTCCAAGCCGTCAACACACCTCAGCCGGCTGCTTCTCATCCACATATAGACATTCTCCACAAACCCGGAGAGAGTGAGGAGCCTTCACTGCATTTCTCATAACAATGAAACCCCCTGACATTCAAGACACTTCAGGCAAGGCTTCCAGCAAGGCTTTCCTTTTGCAAAATATTTCATCGGCCTATATATTAGTATGACTAAAATTGTAATTATTATTATAGATACTATTTTGAGTGATGTCATGGCTTGGTAAAATTAATCAATGACTCATACAGGTTTAACCTGTTTTACACTTACTTCACATTAGGCCCTGACTGTTAAAGTATTTTATAGCCAATACCAATTTCAAGGGGATAAAAATTCTGACAACTGATAACATAAGCTAATATAATTTATTTTTTTCATTTTATGTTTAAATTCTAAAGTCAAGTAGAATACAATAAAAATATAATTTACCTGCAAATCATACTGTGTTGCAGCAATGAGAATTTGGTTGCTTAAATTGGAAAATGTTACCAAAAAAATCCATTTAAAAATTTTTAATTATTCAACCAAGCATCATCATTTATATCCAAAAAAGCCATGAAGTTTTAGTCAAAAATGATCATTTATTGGTATCAGTGTGATATGGTTAATCAGTATCGTGGTCTACATCAGTCTGTCCCTATGTCTGAGCCGTCTTATGTGAACCGCAAACTCTCCAACACTTTCAATGCAAATACAAAAGGGTTTTCTTGGCAACTGATCAGTCAAAGCGGCCAATTTCAGGTGAAGTTGTAGTGGCCCCGGAAGATAAAAACCATTACTGGCCCAATAAGAGCGAGAATAACAGCATCGCTGACACACTACCCTCCCCGAGGTTAAAGATTACACAAACTCTCCAGCCTGCAACGATCTAATTATGCGATGACTGCTGAGTGATGATGTGGACTTTGGTCAGTGTGTCTTTTTCCATTCCTTCACACCACAGGCAGAGAATGCTTTGTGCTGATTTTGATCTTTCAGCCATGACCAGAGGGAACAACACTTGGAAACTCGATGAGGCCATCGCCTGGCAGGCAGTGTTTCAGGTCATCTTATCACAAAGCAACAGAATTGGGTCTGGAAGGCAGCGGAGAGAACAGACAACATTCAGGACAGAGTATGAACCTGTCCATGTGCTATGTCCCTCTGAATTGTGTCAGCTTAATAGATTTGAATGTTGTTAAACACAAATTGTAAAATTTATGTGTGCATTAAGGCTGCACAACATGTTTTCCATTTCAAGTTAAAGAGCCCATTTCCTACTTCCATTTCTTTTGTATTTTATTTTTCCCCTTGAGGTCCACTTACAACATTTGTGTGGTGTTATGCACCAATGATGGTCATAATTCATTTTTACATAACAATTTTCCAATTTTTCTTTTCTGTCCCTTAGAATTAAACAGTCTGTTTTTGTTCCTGTACTTTTAAGACTAAAATAACATAAATGAACTCTGTTCTGATTGGCTATCCTGTTTGTGTCCCATTCAAAAAGCACTGTCCCATCAAAGACTGCCTATAACTACAATTTGAGTAGGCGGGTCTAAGCTGTGGTAGGCTAAATAGGGGGTGCACATATATTTGGTTGGTTGGTTGTGACATCACAGAGACAATGACGTTAAAACAGGCTGTTTTTGCAGCATGGTTTCCATATATGGACTGTATAGACTGGGAAGTGAATGGTTTGCTTTGAAACTCTGTATTTACATTTTACTTCAAACTCTCATTTCAACAAAAGTGATTAGCCCTTTAATAGTTCCCCAAATAAACACTAAATACTGTTTGGAAAGTCAAGTCTATTAGAAAGCCCAAATGGACCTGTTTTTTGTTATTAGGGCTTGAAGAATGCTTTAGAAACTTGCATATCTACTGTATACTAGTATTAAACCTAGTCATGGACTATAGAATCTCCTTTCAGAATGCTGTGTAGTCCAGAACTAGGCTTAATCCCAGTCTGGGAATACCAACCCTACAAGACTAGAGCTAGACGATTCTCCTCTGGAACAAGCCAACCTCACAGCTGCTACACGCCACTATTTATTACACCACTGTATCCATGATCAGCTCCTCGTCAGACTTGTCATATAAATTTTGTCCCATCTTTATGTTTGAAAATATGATTTTATTTTGCCCCCCAAAACTGAGTGCACATCACATGAAAATATGAACAATGGGATGCAAACATTTGCATGTCAGTTATATTCTAATGTCGATATTTTATCCAAGCCAGGCAGATATTTAATGGCAGCAGAAACACATAGTTAACAAACAACATTTGTTAACTATTAGCCTTTCGATTTTGATTATCGCAGAAGGCTGCAATATGCAAATGAGCTCTCTAGTCAATCAGTGTTTTTACTGCATGTTGTGAGCATCTTGACCAACCAAAGCTTCAGGTGAGTGTTTCAGTGGATGTTCTTACACAAAACGGCGCAGTACAGAACAGTATGCTTATAAATCTGTACTCATGCGTGTTGTCACTGCCAAGGGAGCCGTACTGGATTTGCTAACCTTTCTTGCTGGGGAACCAAGCGTACTGTGCCAGAACATGGTGGCACTAGAAATGGTGCAGCTTATTAATTTGCCAAACCAATCCTCACGCGAATCACTCAAGCCTGAGATAACAGTCACCATCTTTGAGCCTACACATAAAGCTGAATGCAGAGAAAAAGGCTGATCAAAACTTGAGGCTCCTTCTTTTTTGTTGCTGTTGTTTGTGTTTATTGTTAACACTATTTCTACCACACAACTGTGGCCACAGAACTGTAGTTGATCTAGTAGGAAAGAACGGGAATGTGAATGTCACGTGAACTTTACCATCTGAGGCCATTTCACCTGATACAATTGTACGACAACAGTGACATGACAGTGTTTCTTCTGAGACCCAAAGCCAAAATGTACAATGTACCACCTACAGCTTTTTGTACAGGCATGACGTCTGCCTGCCCCCCCCTCAGCAGTCTAGGGCCGTGTGTGCGCGAGCCAGTCAGTCTTCAGAACGGCAACACACTCCAAACAGCCAGGCCAGACTAAATATAGCAACAGACTATGAATCCAGAATAGGACAGCCTAGCCCAGCCTAGCCTAGCCCAACCTGTTTGGCAGATATCAGATTGAGCACATCAGAAAAACACCAAGAGCCACCACAGATCTTCAGCCTTCAATATTTTACCACCCCACCCCCAACACACACACATGCACTCTCACCATATAACGATAAAAGCCCTCAGCAACATCCAACCGTTATAAACAGGTTCATCTGGTTTCTGATTCTAATAACATCACGCTTAACCCTTAGAAGTCCAGAGTTATTACTGTTGTTTTTGCTACACTATTTGTGTAATAATACATGTAATCAATTGCTTAACTGTGTAATTAGACATATTATTACACTAATCTCATCACACAGTTATGCAATTGATTACATCTTGATTACACAGAATCTGCACCACTGATATTCAACAAAAAAAGACAGAAGTGCCAATTCAAATCTATCAATACAGAACCATCAAATACAGTAAGTCATATATAAATCACTATATTGTTAAGTACATAAGTGCACTGTTCACATGTAAGCAAAGTCATCCAGAGTGGTTTTATGTGAAATGCACCTGAATTGCTCACAGCAGTGGTGATTGGAACCAGACGTCTGAACAGTTTAATACCTCTAAAAGCACCCTCACAGAAAGTTTTTACATGAAATGGTTATGAATACGGTGACTGATGCCTGCGACATTGTTTTGATGCTAAAAAAATAATTTGACACATGCAGTGCAAAGAGGAACACGCAGGGCGTTGTAATGCAAAACATTCTACAAGGAAAACGTATTTTTTCAGATTTACATCAATTTTACAAATATCAACATCAAACATAAAAATAATCTTTTGTAGAAAAAGGCTAAAATTTTCTTAAACCACTCTGAATTACTTTATTTCTCAGTAACTAAATTACATGCAGGAATTAAAAAAAAAATCTGTGGAAACAGTATCAAAATGCCGTGTTACACTCAATTGGTAATACCTGTTGTTGAGGGTACTGCATCCCTCCCATGGCGACTTGGCCACGCCCCTGCATTCCCACTGGGTATCGGTGCGGTGCAGGTGCTCCATATGGCTGGCTTGAATAACCGCCGCCTGGCTGCTGCTGCTGCTGCTGCTGCTGAGAATAAGGACTGTTACCCATCCCGTAGAGCTGAGAACGCTTCATAGACATGGCGTCCATAGGTACCACCTGTTGGGAGGGAGTTGCAGGGATTTATACATAAAACTCTGCAAACTGTAGTGCCTATACGCTCCTCACTCTCTTCTGAGCGTGACTTATTTAACATCTTTTGTGAAAAGAAGCCTAGTTAATGATCAAAACTAGGTGTCTAGGTGCATCCTATCTATTCTTTTTCAAGTTGGTTATAAGACCATCTCAAAAGATCACTATTTTGCACAGGATATGCCACTTTTTATGTGTTTTGTTTCAAAATAGAATAAGTATTTTTCTGAGCTAAACCAATCTGTGAAGTATTTAATTAACACTTAATAAAAGACATTTACACAAATATCCAAAAACCAAAATGAATCTTGTAGGTAGAAGTGGACAATATAGAAAAATCATCTTTTTTTGTGTGTCACAATATTTAAGTTAGAACAGACAAAGTAGTGGCACATTTAAAAATACCATCAAAAACTATGAATGTAATTACAAATATTCCACATTTTACACACTGTTCTGAACTAAATCCAACTACACAGGATCACTTTTAATCAAACATGCAGTTGAGAAGTGATTTCTTTAAGTACTGACGATACCCAAAAAATATGACAATATGCTCAGCAAAGCATATTGTGATATATTATGATGTAAGTTTTCATAACAATAAATATTGCCATACTGCCCAGTTGTACTTGTAGCAATGTGCATTTTGACTCATTTTAATATTTGTATAACTGTAATTAAATGTACAGACATCCAGTTAACCACAGAGAAGGAAAAAGCGGCAGAAAAAAGGAAAAAAAAACCCGACAAAATTAGTGCAGGGTTTTAGGCTCACTTTCACTATTACTGGTGAGACTAAAATTATTTTTTTCATACTATTATTCAAACACAGATTAACAGAGGCTGCTTTAGATGAGCTACTAAGATAATGCTACAGCTAAATGGTACACCACTGACAAATGCTGATGAGGACTGAGCATACAGCGTAGCGAAACATGTTCAGGCTACTTCTCTAGTTTACAGACGTTAAGACAAGGACAGTAGATACAATGTGTACAAGATACACCCTGTAGTGGACAATGAGCACACAGTACAAAAAAATAAATTAAACCAAAATTAAAAACAAAACAATGGTAATGGTGCATACAAGCATACAGGTGCACTAGGTTAGTTTGCTAGAGAAACATATTTTCACTATTTCTGGACCTTGCTAACATCTGAGAAAATTGTACTGAACCTGAAAATGAAAATGAAAATTATGACCAAATTCAATAAAACACACATTTTAGTGCTCTTGACCTTGCTGAGCTGACGATAGTAATCTTTAGACTCGACGGCTGGCGAGTGCAGAAATTCAGGGCAGTGTGCCATCATCCGCTGACAGGGAGAGTCAGGTTTAGTCTCAAGTGAGCTGGCTTCGCCAAAAAAAAAAAAGAGAGAGTGAGAGCTATCCAAACTAATCTTCTCATATCACTGCCAAATTCAGGGCAATTGAAGCAGCACTTACAGAAAATGTGTGCAATCGAGAACGCCTGTGAGGGCACTTTAAACGAGCAGTTTAAGTGTCAGCAACCATGGCCTGGCACACTGCAATTTTCACTCACTCCCTCTCCTTCTGTCTCTGTCTATCTCTCTCGCCCTCTCTCGCACATAAACACTCACACAGGGACACTCGCACTTGCTCAGACTACGACAGGCTACAGCTCTTCTGAATCAGACTCCTCTTACCACACTAAACCAAACCAACTTTGAAAAAAACGCATCAAGTATTTTTGAAAGTCTGCGCATAAATGTGGCAAAAAGGGTCCCTTAAAGAACCTCTCAACGGATGTTTTTAAAGAACCACTAAATGAGATGTGCAAATGTGAACAATTTTAAACTTCAAAGAACGACATAAAGCAAACATGTACACTAGAGGTGGATGATATGCCACAAATAAAACACAATAAGACATTCTGACAATACCATATGCATCACGATGCATTCCGCATCAAGTTTGATCCAAAGAAGTAGGAGCAGTAGCGCCACGCTTAAAAACTACAATCAAAACCTTTGAATCTGATAATATTTACTCAACATTTTACATTCTGAGCTGCACTAAAACCAATTGAACAGGACAAATTATGATCTCTACTGAAACATGCAGTTGACCCTTGTTTTTTAAGTAATGATGATATCTACATTACGAAGTTGTAACAATTTTGACACAGATTGAAAAATCGAATATGAACCTCTGTATCAAAATTTAAAAACGTATGACTGATGCGCCCCTCTGTCTCTTTCGAGTGTCCCTCATTTACTGCCTTTCATAGATACCACTGTCTGTGACCAAAACTAGGCTTCTCTGCTCATCCTATCACAGTAAAGTGGGGGGGCAGAGGGGTGGGGAACCCACCTCAAATGACTGGGCTTTTTTTAATCAACTATAAATTTTAGGGATTGTAATTTTGGGGGTTTGTTTTGTCAGAGGGCTACACAGCAGGCACTGAAAACTTTCTATTTAAGCAGCTTCGTTTGCTAAGCTAAACCAATGTGTAGTATATAACAAAGAATCGAGAAACTTTGACAAAAATATACAAAATAGTAAAAACTGAACTGAATCTTGACCTCTAATCTGAAATTTTGACCTCATGCTCTTATGGTGCAAGCACGTAAGCTGTGAATACACTAACACAGTGTTCAAACACTAAAATATTCACATTAGAGGAGAATTCCACCTTTTTTGCAAAATTTCTGCATAATTAAATGGTTAAGCTGTAAACAAAGTTTGAAGAGTTTAATGTCTCTAGAGCTCCCTCTCAGAACATATAAGAAGAAATCAATATGGATATGCTGCTTTATTCAGGAAACATATAACAGATTTATCAGTATTTTACTATCATCAACATCACATATAAAAACTCACTACTTTTGGATAGTAAATAAAAATAAACAAGATGTTTATATTCATGATGTAGATGCTGTGACCCCTGCTTTCAAGTTTCAAGTTTGGATAAGTTTCTCTGCAATGGCATATTTCAGATATTTCAGATCAAACCAGATCAAACCATGTTATGCAGAAAATCAAAAAAAAGTTTAACAAATGACCACAAGGCACACATTCAAGCATTCATTATTTTTACTGTATCGAGAAAAATATTGCATTGAGACACCACCCGATCGGATCAAAAAATCTAATAATTGGTTTTGTATCATCATTGCATCCCTACCATGAGCTCAGAAAAGCATAGCGTGACATAATTTGTCATGATAACAATAAAAATCATCAAACTGTCCAGCCCACTCTGGACAAACTGAAGGTTCATCCTAGAACTGTAGGCCAAAGCCAAGAACCACTTAGGAACTTTTATTAATACAGGAGTAACCGCAATTAGACTCAATCATTAGAACTATTAATTAACTTGTCATTAAACTGCATTACTGCTTACAACAATAACAATAAGGTGTACCTAGTTTTTCTTTTTTTAACATAATACTAAAGTCATCAAATCAAAAACACAAGAGTGACTGAAAGGTTTCCTACAATTTCAAGGGCAAATCATTGTAACCTTGAGTTCATTTAGCCCACAACAAACAATAAAAGGCTAAAAACAGCCAAAAATCAGCCATCAGTCGACTGTCCTATAAAAAAAAATAGATGGAATCAGCATGAAAATCCATGATTGGTGCATAATTAATATCACAAATATTTAGGAGTGGGCAATAGGACAATGATGAATATTGTTATTGTGATAAATGGCATCACAAAATGCGGTTCAGAGAATATTGTGGATGTCGTCAGCATGTCAAGAACACTGACCATTACAAAAAGAGCATAATTAGTCCTGTTTAACTGGATTTAGTTCAGTGCAGTGTGCTAAACATTAAAGTAAAAACCTACTGAGCTATGGTGACGGTATATTTTTGCTACATTGCCGACCTTTTTGAAAACAGACCAAATAACACAACACTACCCAAAAAACAATCCATTCCACATCTTTAAAAACAACAAACACATGTAAGCGTTCGCTCTCTTGCTGACATTTTTTCTGACGCACCAGCACAAGAATGACTGACGTGTGCAAGTGCTTTCCAGTCTCTTGGCACCTCCTTCAGTCAGGCCCGGACTGGACAGGCCCTGGGAATAAACCAGGGCGCAGGAGCACAAACGCTCCATACATTTCCTGCTGAGATAGCTGGCAATAACACCTAGTGAGCACATGGCTAATCTGCATGTGTGAAGGTCAGGGCTACTCATCCACAGAGGTGCCACCGGAGAGGGCTCACTGCCAGAAAGCATCACATCACACAAGAAAACTAATCTAGAGGAGAAACTGCTGAACTACACAGAAAAATGAAGCCCTTATTAAAATGACAAAGTGGAAAAAACAGTATTTACAACTATTAGTTATCAATAAACAAAAACTGGCAAGTGATAAATTCATGTATTCAGCCACATCTTGATAAGGTTGTTTACCTCTCAAAGTCCAGATGTAACAGAGGAGAAACCTAATTATCACAATATTAAGTAACTGTTGTGCACCTGCAAACACCTCTAAACACGCTCTCCAAAGAGAAAAGAGCCCAACACAGCATAACATAGCAACACTCTTTAAAAAGATGGTTCTTAGTAAAGACAACAGTTCTATATAGAATCATGAACACTCAAAGAACCATCTGCATGCTTAAATGGTTCTCTGCATGATGAAATGCTTCTTCAGATTAATGGAGAAAGTGTTGTAATATGATTCTGTATAGCACCAAAAATGGTTCTTCTACTCTTACAGTGTCAAGCTTGTATACAATAGAAGAATCTTTTTTCATGCTACATAGAAGCACGTACAGCACATTCTCCATCAATCTGAAGAACCATTCAACCATGCAAAGACCCATTTAAGCATGCAAATGCTTATATATAGAAGAACTGTCTTTACTAAAGAACCCTTGAAGAACCATCTTTTTTTAAGTGAGATTCAACAGTCAATCCAACTGACATCCAAATTGAAAGTGTAAAGCAGATCTGAACTTCCCTAAATTCTGTTTTTTTTTTTTCATACTATTGGACTGAGGTCGCCTCCATGAACCAAAAAAGAAAAACACAGCACTAACTTACTTGCGAAACACTGTATCTGTCTGGCTGAGATTTCATCACAGCACAAGAAGAGATTTTCCATTTTCCTGAAAACACATTCACAGTTCTTCCTGTATTCGTGCAATACTGCAACTTGTGATGTTTGACCATAACTGTTAAAATGATTCAAAGAAAGGGGGGGAAGCTTGTTGGGGATATTTTGCGTCAGGTTCTGTAATTTGTCCGAAAATCAACCCAAGTTAGAGCTAGCAATTGCAGCTAGGCTAGTTTTAGCATTAGCTTTGACGCTCACGTAGCCATGATACCGCTAACAAATATAACTTAACAGAAACATTAGCATGTATGGTTAGCTAGGTAGCGACATACAGTTGTTTAGCGCTGAACACGATTAAGTATTTAATGTAAGTTAATTCATCCCGTTTGTTTAAAAAATAAAATTAAGTCTCTAAACATTTTTACAAATAAATACGGCGACTTACTAGCTAAAGCTAACATTTGAGTTCATCTTTAAAAAAATGGTAATAGCTGTCTGCTATAAAACTAACCGTTAGCCAGTCTTGCGCTAGAAGGTTCCATCGCATCGTTTAAGGTTTACTGCTTGCTGTATAATTACAGCAGCTGATTTAGGTCCCCGTTGTTGTTGTTTTTAACATTTCCACACTGTGTTTCTGCAGACCGTAAACGTGTGTTTTGCATTAACGCGAAGCATAACGCGGTAACAGCTAAACGCAGCCGTCAGGTTCAGCGAGAATGAATGACGTGTTGCTGCTAGCTATAGTTAGCCAAGTTACCGCATTCATGTTAGAAGAAAATACAGATTATCCCACACTTTGACGCATTTTCCCCATCTCCTCATCGTCTCTACCTATTTCTTCTTTTTTTGGTGCTGTTTAAACAATTCAACAAAAATAAACCTAGCCAGCTAACGTTAGCTAGGTTAGCTTAGCTGGCTAAGTCACCTTGGCCAGAACTTGACAAGTTCTGTCTGTCCGCACAGACAACGGGCGAGTACTAATTAACAACAAGTACTTGGGAGTTTTGTTTTTCAGTGAAACTGGGCTCGTTCTGAGCACTGACAATGGGATTTTTGTTTTTCGGCCATCGAAAAAATATAATAATAGCCTGGTTAACTGGCGTTTCCATACCAATTGACGTTAGCAGACTAGCAACAGGCCACTGGTTAGCTGACCAGCTAGGTAAGTTAGCAGAAAGACTGACAACCTAGTGATGGGTTTTAAAAACGTACGCAAATGAACACACCTGGGGTCTGTTTCCTCCTTGTCCGTTGTTTCCCGGACTCATTGCGGGGTGATTTCTTTGTTGTCCTCCCCAGCCGTGGCTCGCCGAGCTGTACTGGGAGCTCAGGTCTTTGCTGAGCCCCATGCCTGCTTGTTGTTGTTGAGCGCTGGGATTACTGTAGTCTTGGTAGCCACTGCCATAACCTCTCATCATCGGGCTGGGAGAGGTCAGAAGCTGGTTTAAAGTTGGAGTGGCACCCGAGGGATGCTGTTGGTTTTGCCCTGGGAACCTCTGAAACACTCCGACACTGCCAGCACCGCCGGGGGACGCGGCTGGCTTACCGTGAGCCGTGGCAGGAGCTGAGGCGGCTGAGGCTGAGTTGCTCCCCGGGCCCATCATGTTTCCCTGCCGCGATGGGCTCATCATACCGTAGCCGGTGCCACCGTAACCGGCTCGGTAGTTGGGGTAGTGGTTGTAGGGGTTGTTGTGGTACTCTTCGTGAGAGTTTTGCATTTGATCCATGTTGTTCTGGGTCGAATGCATCATAGCCGGAGGAGCAGGGCTTTGTTGTCCGCCATGTTGATCAAAGCAAGGCCCTCCTCTTCCATTCCCATAATAATTATTAAACTCGAAAACCGAGCTGTTCCCACTTTGGGACGGCTCACCACCTCCACCGCCGCTGCTGCTGCTGCCGCTGCCGCCAGTCGCTAGTCCAAAGTCGACGTGCTCCTGCTCGTACCTGCTTCCCATGCGATCCGCCGTTTTGCACGGTCGGTCCTCCTCCTCTTCACTTTTACTCAACGATTGCTGATGGCGATCGACCAGGCTAGCGAAAATCTCCTCTTTCCCACCACCATGGTGCCTGGTAAAGTCACACAGTGCGGGCTGCTGCCGCCTGTCCGCGGTGTTCTGGCCGTCGCGATGCCGACGCTGGAGCTGGTTGAGCTGCTGCTGCTGCTGTTGCTGCTGCTGGGGCTGTGGAGGTGTGCGGCGGTGGCGAGGCGAAGGAGGGGGATCTCCACTTCCAACATTTTTCACTTTATGATTCGCTCAAGATGGTTATTCAGGGGTTATTAAGTAAAGGGAATGGTTATTTAGGACCCCGAGTTCTATACAGAACCATTTCGTGCTTTAATGGTTATTTGCAGGGTGAAATGGTTCTTCAGATTGATGGAGAATGTTTTGCATATGGTTCTGTATAGAACCTTATTAAAATGGTTCTATATAGCACCAAAAAGGCTTCTGCTATTGTTTACAATGTCAAGCTTGTATACCATAGCAGAAACTTTTTGCTTCTATACAGAACCATATATACAACATTCTTCATCAGTCTGAAGAACATTTTCACAATGCAAAGAACCATTTAAGCATGACAGGGTTCTGTGTAGAATCATGGCTCTAAATAGAACCATTACCTTTACTAAAAACCCTTAAAGAACCATCTTTTTAAGAGTTTACCAAACCTTTTTCCATGCACCAGTTTGTCAGTCACGTTCAGATTAGAAGGCAAAAAAAGACCAATATGTCCACATTTTCCTCTTTGTTCAATAGTGCAGGGGAGAAAGACATAGTAAGCTGAGCTGCACAGGTTTAGCACAGCATTAGATCTACTATACTTGCTTCCATTCACCTGTATTTTCTATTCAAAACTAGTTCACATAGTGTTTTAGGGTGTGTGCTGTTCTGCAATCAATATAATACACAAACAAGCAAAACAAAATACGCAGGACAACGATTTTTGGGTCGGGAAACCCTTAATTATTTTATTTTTTAAGTCAGAACTCCCCGTGGCGTCTTTCAAGTCTGAGACTAGTCGTGTGTGTCAAAGTTTTCCTGCCCCACTTGTGCTCAGGGCTGGTTTTCGCAGCCTTTACACGAAAACGCGGACTGGATTATGGATTTGGCGTCTTATTGATGAACCGTGGTTTCTCGGACTCTTTTGCATTTCCAGCTTTTGTAATCCTGTTAAACGTAAACATCTAATTTTAGTAATATGTAATCACTGAGCATTTTCTTTTTTTAGCGTTTTAAATCGGTTCGGTCTCATACAGCTTAACAGCGCCGTCAGCGGAGTCCGCACCGCGTTTTCTACGCAACCGCTGGTGTTGGGTTGAATTTCTCTGCAGCCAAAACGCGTCTCGCAGAAGCAAGAGCGACTCAAAAATCCAGTCCACAATTTTGCCGTAAGGTCACAGGCTGAAGTGGGATAACACCTAATCTAGGGTTAATGGAGAGTGAACACCACCTAAACAGGCATAGCAATGGCCCGTTTGCGACACCCTTGAATTTCACCTTGTTTAATCCTATGTAGTACCATCATCATAACAATCCTCATCATCCTCAACAACAACAGCATAATCGACTAAAGGCAGCCCCCTAGTGGAAAGGATTTTGATCATATAAACAACTGGATGCACATTAGGGAATGCAATTAGCTTTCAAAAGAAAATCTGTTACCATTTGCAGAGTTAACAGTGCACAATACAATAGCAAACAATAGGCAGTGGAAAGAATCAAATGATTTGTATCTGCTTGTGATAAACGTCTGAACATCTCAGACATAACAAGTGGTGGAAGGCACCCAGGCAAGTCAAGCACAGAAAGTGGGTCAGTAAAGCCCACAAGAGAAGCTGTGCTCAGAACCGCTCCACAGCTCTGGTGGTGCAGTGAGCATTTCATGGCTTTGAAAATGATTCCTTGTGCTGGTTTCTGTGTCCGAAATCAAACCAGTTGATGTGGATGTTTCATGTGGTGTCCAAAAGACAGAAAAATGTCCATCAGAGAGACTAGAAACATGTATTCGAATGCTCTGGGATTGCCAAAGATGGATGAAATATTTGGAGTGTCTATGTGTCATATAAAAAGATGGCAGGACTCTCACTAACAGTCATATTTTTAATCAAAGTCTTATTATTGTTTTGACAGGCGAGTAATCAGCTGTCAAAAGGACAAACAGTAAAAATGGACTTAACTGGACAAGAACAGCATGAATATATTCTTTCAGAGATTCTCAAATACTTTATTGGTAAAAGATTAAATAGGATTTTTTTAAGAATTAACAAAAATAGAAGAACTTTGGTCAGGTCACTTTTAATCGTTTTTTGTGATTAAGTTTCTTTAAGCAGTCATGATGGCCAGGATGGATGGATAGATGCATGGACAAAGCTATGTGTTCATCTTGTTAGGTTGACAGAACAATAGAACAATAGATGAATAGATAATAGATAAGTAACTATTAATGGAAACTGTAAGATTATACCAGCAACAACAAGAAAAATATGTGTGTATGTATAAATACATAGAAATGCTATAATTAATTAAGAAAATGCTTTTAGAAAAAAGCACTATATATATATATATATATATATATATATTTGGATGGTCCAAATATGGCTCAAATGCAACACACAGTAGCAGCAGAACATTCCAAAGTACAAGCCTCATCCTGTTCCATAGCAAGTGTCCTCTTCTGATGCTCCTGCTGTTGATCTTTCAGCGTTCTCATCTTCACCCCAGGAGATTCCCTTCATCACCCGGCCTCAAACAGCCGAAGATGGCGGCCGGCCTTTTTAATGAACATGCTGGCTCAGGCGTGCCTTGAGTTGGAGCTGGCGCAGACCCAGGCACTCATCAGGCAGAAGAAGAGTGACGCTGATTGCACGTTTCCTAATTAAACCTTGTCTGACTTTGATAGGGGGAAATTGTGGGCCGATGGGGGGTGCTCTTGACTGACAGAGCCATGGTGCCACTACGAACGACTCATAGACTTTGAAACTTGTTTGTTTGAAAAGAAATTGCCCTTTAGAGCAACAATCCCATGAAGTCGCTGTCATGTCATAACCACGTAAGTCTGTTTTTTCTTCCTTTTTTAATGCTAGCTGATCTTTACACTGTGTGAACATTTCATGATGAATAGACTAATAGAAATGGTCCAAATCTCGTTGTATTAGTGCGCATGAGATGTTTTTCTTCTCCTATGAAACTACAACTTTTTCCACAGTTTAGGCCTACAGAAGCACCACTACAACCTAAACCCCTTATACTGAACACACAGTCTAACTGAAGCACACAGACATTTTGTTCTGTCAGATTATATACTTTAAACTTTTGTTCCACTTAAAATTCAGCATGCTACAGAGAACATAATCACAGCTCAATCAGCTGAATTACTTGCATCATTACTGATTCAATACATAGTAATAACGCCTCGCTGTAGCTGTGCTAATGAATGGTTCTGTGGCAATCAGTGTTACAGATGGCATGGCGTGTTTTAAGGCTCTAAAATATTCAAATCCTTATAAAAAACAATGATGATGAGAACAGTGACCTCTCTTAAAGAGAAAAAAAAACTGTCCACTCCTTCTGGCTTAAAAGAAAGTATTTAAAGCTGAACTATGTTTTTTGGTAAAATTGAAAGAAGCAGCAGAGTCAGAAAGAAAATGAAAAAGAAAGTTTTTCAGACCACATCGACGTATTATCATTACATGATGTTTAGGTCTCATGTGCAAAATCACATTACACTGATGAAGATATGATGACAATAGCAGATAATCCACTCACATCCTCAGATGACATCTTTCACCAAGTTTTGATTACTCTTTCAACACGCAATGATTAGATTCATCTACTCAGGGAAGGCAGCCAAAGAATAACCCATGTTATAAAATATTCCTTCCAACTCTGCATGCAATTACACATTTCCACCAGAGAGGTCTCCAAACCCCCAAATCTCACATAGTCTAGCTTGAAAGATGTGGGTCTTTGGATAATGTTTATCATTAAACATTGGAGCACAGAATTACAAGATCAGAAAAGTGATTATTCTCATAGACCTCTGAGGTTGTGTGTCATTGTGGAGTCATTCTGGTGTCTGGTATGTAAAATAAACACTCACAAAAAAGTTGATATGACAAGTCATTTGAAACGTTTAAAAGGCAGTGATATAAATATAATGATGCTTTATTCCAAGAAATTATGGAATCCATTTTTTTAAGGTCCATTCATTATGAAAATTACATAATGTAAAGAGAAGCTAGTGTTTACAAATGAACTAACAGTGGCAACATATAAAGTTGTGTTCCTAATTCAACTACTTAACGAGCCTGTAATTCAAATGACACAGTGGATTTCAGGGGGAAATGTATGTAGGGCAAAGGGCATCAGCTTTGTAGCTAGTCAGTTGATTGCAGGGTGCAATTTTTGAAAACACCATTTTTCCAGACAAAAACAGCCCAGTCATACAGCTCATCCAGTTTTTATTCCAAGTAACATTGGACCATTCATATTGGTCCATTCATCATGAGTAACTGTATAAGTTACTCTATTCATAATTTTCCCATTTACGAGCCTCATAATTCAAAAGATACAGTGAGTATCAGGGAAAAAAAATACACATCACGAAATTTGTCAGTTTTTGAAATTGTTGCATTTTTCAGAAACACTATTCATTTTCCAAAAGGATTTGATCCAGGGCTCTAACAGAAAAGTACAAAATGACCACACTTCCTCAAAGGTCTATTTTTTTAAAAAGGTAACAAACCTTTACAAATCTCAAGTCACAAGTGTTCATTTGGTCTCAGATGGTTTGGCGCACAGGGTTAAAGCTGCATGAGCCAAACCTGAAGACAGTATTAGAACAGATTTTTAGCACTTTAAATCTACCTCCCATTCCCACACATCTACACAAACAACTTCACAAGTTGTTAATGGCAATGAATACCATGGCTATCAGCTAATGTCTCTCACAGTGGTTATGCTTGCTTTCAGGAATCTAACTAAAAGATATAAACAGTAAGAGAGGGCTACAATACTGCTGTCTTCCCTCCCCCCGGTATAAATTTATTCCACGTTGTAAATTATAGTGACAT